AAGGCAAGAATTGATCTAATCCTGTGGCGCCCAGAGCCGCGGGGCGGGGCGGGGCGTAGTTTAGGGGGCGGGGCCTGGCTCCCGGCTCCACCCACCGGTTGGGGCGCGCCGGGGTCCTGCAACTTCGCGCTGGGGCTGCACCCGGTGGCCCGGCGCTGGCGGCCTCCGCGGAGCCCCGTTCTTTCGCCTGCCGCCTGCGGGGGATCTGGAGCTCTCGGGGGAGGGAGTGACACGAAGGGCCTTCCCTGGCGTATGTGGCTACCAAAGCCTCAAGACCCCGCGTCTTCGATGGTTTCAGATTGGCTGCAGGGAGCCAGGCTCCGGGATGTGATAGGAGCCGGGTCCGGGGTCAGAAGTATTGGGTTTGAGTTCCAGATAGGCTTTCTCAATAGCCATATGCATTCTGCTTGGTTCCCTGCTGGCTTGGTGGTTTCAAAGGAGTCAGCGACCCTCTCTGATCTCATTTTTCTCATCAATAAATGGAGTTAATAAGAGTATCGATGTAGTGGGGTTGCCCAGGGAGCTAGCTGTCTTTCACATTTCTGGAAGTGTTTCCAGCGCTGTACAGCTTGTTGAAACATTCCCGGAGCCTTGATTTTGCATAACGCCTCCAGTGCAGCTTGGACTCCTTCCTTCAGTACTACCACTTCTTGCTCATAGGCTACCTACCTCTTGAAACGGTTGCATGTTGACCAGTTCTTTTGGTACAGTGACTTAGTGGATTGCCTCTGTCTTTTGTTGTTGTCGATGCTTCCTGCATCATTCAGTACTTTGCCCATAGAATCCTTCACTATTGAAACTTGAGGCTTTCATTTTTTTCTTTATTTCTTTCGGCTTGAGATATGCTTAGTGTGTTCTCCCCTTTGGGCTTTGTAACTCCAGGTCTTTGCACATTTCATTCATGATAACATTTTATTTTGTCTTCTTCAGGTACCCTTTGAAATTTCCTGTTTGGGAAGGGAGGGGAAAACATGAGGCGCTGATACCTAGGGCTCAAGAAGAAAGCTAATGTTTTGAGAATGATGAGGGAAACAAATGTACAAAAGTGCTCGACACAATGGATGGATATATGGATTGTGATAAGAGTTGTATGAGCCCCCAATAAAATGATTCTAAAAAATGAAAGAGCCTCAGGAAGGCCTACATGTTCTAAAAAAAATAAAAAGAAATTTCCTGTTCAGCTTTTAATTCCTCATTTCTTCCATTCAGTTTAGTTACTCTACATTCAAGAGTAAGGTTCAAAGTCTCTTCTGAAATCCACTTGTCTTTTCTATCTCTCTTGTCTTTCCAAAACGACCCTTTGCTTTTTTTGTGTGAACTGCTTTTGATGTCATCCCACAGCTGGTCAAGTCTTCTCTCATTAGTGTACAATGCATCCAATCTGTTTTTGAGAAGTGCTCTAAATTCAGGAGGTTTTATATCTTCAATTTGGCTCTTATGGACTTGTTTCAATTTTCTTCAGCTTCAACTTGAATTTGCGTATCAGTAATTAATGGCCTGTTTTACAGTTGGTCCCTGACCTTTGGCTGATGACATTGAGCTTCATGCAGTTAATTTGATTTCTGTGTATTCCCTCTGGCAAAGTCCGTGCATAGAGTCACCATGTATGTTGTTGAAAAAAGGTATTTACAATGAAAAAGTGATTATGATCTGTTCTTGTTGTTGTTCGATGCTATCAAGTTGGTTCTGATGCACATCGACGCTGTGTACAACAGCAGGAAACAGGGTCTGGCGCTGCACCCTGATATCCTCCCAATTGTTAGGTTTGAGCCCATTGTTGCAGCTACTGCTGTGTCAATGCACCTTGTGGCAGGGAGGGTGTTCCTCTTTCCTGAGGTCCTTCTACTTTACCAAGCACGCTGTCCTCTGGTGACTGGTCTCTGCTGATAACACCCCCAAATCCACACTAGCTCACCGTCATTGCAGGATTGCGTTCTGTTGTCTTTGACTTGTTCTCCTTCCACTGCCTCCATCAGTTTTGTTGTACAACGTTTTAGTGTGAATTGGGTAAAAGCTTACAAAGCCAGTAATCAGCTTTACATTCAGCAATTCATACCCATTTTGTATCAAGTCACCCATTGCACTCCCCTTGATGGATACTCCCTTATCCCACTTCCTCCCTGGGCTTCCTGTTCGAGGTCCTCCTGCTTTTGTAACCCTCTGTGCTTTGACCTGGAGTCAGTGCAGCTCCTTTGATCTTAAATGGTTGATTTTTCGAATGTGTGTGTATGTGTGTTCAGTTGCAGCCCTGAAAGATGACTAAAAGCCCAAATCATCAGTCACTATTTGACCAATAAGCCTGGTCTTATTATTCGCATATCATGCAATTCAATAGTTTAATCACATCAAGAAGAGTTGTACAATCATCACCACAATTAGTTTTAGAACATTTTCTTTAATATCATGCTCATCTTCATTAGCTTTCCATCTATACCCCAACCCTCATCTCTCCCCTATACTTCCAAGAGACCATTAATTAAGTTACTGTCTTTATAGATTTACCTATTCTGAATTTCATCTATAGAAAAAAATGTTTTTTTTACTAACAAGAATAACAAAGTAAAACAGATAAAAACTTCAGTTGAAAAGAAAACAGAATATAACAAAAACAAGAACAAATTTAAATGGAATCATAAGGAAAATCAAATAGGGTTCTAAGTTTTAACCTAACTCCATCTGTAACAATGCACTTTCCAATGCGTTCTGTATGTTAGCAAGGCTAGTCACATCCCTGGTCCATAATCAGATGGGATTTCCCAGGTGATTAATCTGCCTGTATTTCCTCTTCACTTCAGGGAACGATACAGAGAAGATTAGCATGGCCCCTGCGCAAGGATGACACACAGACTCGTGAAGCGTTCCATATTTAAAAAAAAAAAAAGAATGGGAATTAGAACAAATTATAAAGATAACTTATTTTAGCAATGGACATATATGTGCTCTATGCTTTACTTAACCCTTTCAAGACCAAATTCTTTTATTATTGTTATTTTTGTTGTTGAAACCACGTGTTTTCATTAATGGAAGGAATTTTTTTTTAATGGAAGGAATTTTGAATGAGGTGAAAAAATATGTTTGAGGTGTATTAGAGCTTAAAATCTGGGCACCAGGTTTGCCAAAAGCTATGTAAAACTATGAAAGCCCCAGATTTAGTTGCAGAGTCTCCTTGGAGATTAAGCCTCCATTGAATTCCTTCAGACCATTCATTTTGTAATATGAACAGTCTTGCCTTCAGGCAGGATGTGTTTGATAGGGGATTACTGCCACTCCCCTAACCAGCTCTGACAGAGGCAGCCTCCCTTACAGACTCATCCAGATTAGAGTATTAGGGTCATATAATCATGAGTCATGCCCTGCCTGTCTTGGTCGGGGAGCTATCTCATAAACTCTTCTCTTTAGCATAATACAGTACATGTTTCCTAATTAGGGTATAGGAGCCCCAGTGGCATAGTGGTTATGAGTTGGGCTGTGAGCCATAAGGTCTGAAGTTCAAAACCACCACCCCTCCCTGGGAGAAAGATAGTTCTACCCTGCCCTACAGGATCATCACGAGTCAGGATTGACTGGATGGTAGCGAGCTGGCTTTGGGTTAATCCCGGTCGTCCCGACTACAAGTGGGATGGATTGGGCTGCTGCCAATCATGTTTTGTGACACGTTTCCTTCGTCCTCCCATGTCCTGTTTAAGGCATTGGTTCTCTGTAAACCCATGGATGCCATCAGGAACCTCCTGCTAACCTCATCCAGCTGATGTGTGTCTGTCTCATCTTTTCTTGTTTAAGACTTAATGAATGTTCTCCTTAAATTATAAAAAGATTTGAGATCTCTTTTGAATACAAAAACAGGTACAATGGATTTTGATATAATTAATGGACTACATAAGTGCTTGGGCTGAGGGGATGAGGCCTGTTTCTTCAGATTTAAGCAGTTGTGGCCCCACCCCACCGCCCCCTGAGGTGGCAGCATTCAATCAAAATGGGATAGCAGCTTCCCCCTAATCACCAGAAGTGGAAAGTGTAGGTGGGTCCCCTGGGCCACAAAAAAGTTGACACCTCTCATTGAATCTTTGCTACTTTCTCATGAGAAAGAGTGCTTTAAAAATGGGGAAACGGAAGCACAGATTACAAATGTATCCGTTATCCAAGATCACAAATCATGGTGGACTCAGGATGCGAACAGATCCTTGACCCTGAAATGCTACTCAATCTTGATTCAAATGAAATTTATAAAATTTGCTCCCTGAGTCACCTGCATGGAATCCGTTGGAGTGATCTTGTGAGCAATTCAGATCTTAAAGCATACTCCCTCCACATCTGTTGTTGTTGTTAGCATCTGTCAAGTGTATTAGAGTCTAAATTTCTGAGCACCCAGTCTCGACATAAATTCAATCTCTTTTTAATTCCTTGTGACCTTTAACCCCGGAGGTGAATAGCTTTGTCCTCTGGGAGAGTGTATTAGAGTGAATTGCTGTCACCCCCCCCTGGGGAGAAGCCCTCCAGCCTTTGAGAATTCACTGGGGTGTGTCCTTAATGGAAATGAACACACTAGAGCACTTGGTCTAGAGTCACATCCTGACTGCCTCGCTCTGAGGGTACTCAACCAATCTTAGAATCTCTTCTGCCTAACGTAATGCTTGTGTCCTGCGCACAGTCCTACTCCCACCCCAGTAGGCCCACCTGTAACTGTGATGTATTGATCGGCCATCAGTCATGCTTTGTGACAGTTTCCCTTGCCCTCCCATGTCATTTTAAAGTCTGAATCGCTGCAAACCCTTGGATGCCATTAAGACCTTGTACTAATGGTCTTCCTCATCTGGGTGGTGTCTCTTTGTCTGGTCTTTTCTTATTTAAGACTTAATAAATGTTCTCAAATTATTTTGCGATTTGGGGCTTCTTTTGTACTCTTAAAAACACAAGCCAGCCGGTGACTCATAGCACAACGGGGTCAGAGTGCTATAATCCTTAGGGTTTTTATTGGCTGGGTTTTGTTTCCCAGAAATAGATCGCCAGGCCTTTCAGTCTGTCAAATCTGGAAGCCTCATTGAAACTTGTCCAGCATCATAGCAACATACGAGCCCCATGGACAGATGGGTAGTGGCTACACATAAGGTGTGTTGTCCAGAGTTGAACCCAGGTCTTTCTTCGCTGTGAAAGACGAGAATACTACCACTGGACCACAGATGCCCCACTCCAGACCTACTGAGTCATTGAATATGAAGTACCACTGCCCCAGCGGAAGATAGTGCTCTCAGCTTTCTCAAGGATCAACTATTCTTCCCTTCCCAGTTTGCCTGACCCACCTCCCCCTGGCTCTTCTCCCTACACCTCTTCAAAGAGAGCTTCGCCTCTGTGCCCCTTGCTGCGCTGGGGCTAGGCTCAGATCCTCAGGACCCCCCTTCATCTCCCCAAAAGTGGATAAGAGTGCCGAAGAACTCACACCAGGACCTGGGCAGGTTGCCTGCTCAGGGGGAGTGGCTGACAGCTGCCTGGGTCACTCGGTCCTCTTGCTCTGAGACAGGGCAGAAGCTGGCCAAAGAGTCATCTCCCTGCCCGGGACCCCTTCCAGCAGGCAGGAGTCTGGACAAGCCCCTGTTGGCCTCAGTTTCTCTCTTCCTAATATGAGGGGCAGTGAGCTCTGTTTCTGGCCCTTCCTCCTCCCCAGGAAGTGTGCAGAACACAGAGCAGATGCTATCAGAGGGAATTGTGGGCCTCTGAGAGAGGCACTCATGGGATGGCCAACTGGAAGAAGCCACAATAATATGAGTAAGAAGAAGCACCAGGACATGAAATTTGTTTAGGTGAGCAGGAGGCTTTCCTGAGAACGGCGGAGACATTAGCTGCGATGGATCCTTTGTATTCTTCCTGGACTGCAGTCTCTGTGCACTTTCGCTGTGGATCAATTTCAGAAGCTCTGACTTTCTAGCAATTGGAAAAGAAGTTTCCCTTTCCCAGCAAGTGTGGGCACACACATCTCATCTATACGGGTCCTTTTCCCAAGTACACCCACCTACCTGCCTTCTTCTTCCTCTTCTTTTTTTAATGAATTAATTTATTTTTAAATCATTTTATTGGGGGCTCGTACAACCCTTATCACAATCCATGCATACATCCATTGTGTCAAGCACATTTGCTGCCCTCATCATTCTCAAAACATTCGCTTTCTGCTTGAGCCCTCCACCTGCCTTCTGCACACATCCAGGACTGGAAGAGGCAAGTCATTTGCAATAAAACGGACGTGAATTTGAACTCACTCATTCTCTGGGTTACCATGGCAAGCCAGCTAACCTCTCTGAGTTTCTGTCGGTTTAAAAGTGGAGGAACAATCATTCATTCCCCATCCTACCCATCCCACGGTCTACTGTACTCCCCCACTTGGCTAAGGGGAATAATCTGGACAAAGGATAACTCGTACGTCCGATAAAGGCTGGCTGTTGGGTACACAGATCCAGCCAGACGCTCAAGTGCTGCGCACAAGTGCACATCCAGACACCATACCCTGGGACAATCACACCAACAGCTCCTTCTCCCCCAACCCTCTTCACTGTTTGCAGGCCCTCTTCTGCTTTGTTTTCAAACTCACACCAAGACCCAAGGGACTTGCAAGGAGCACAATAAAAGCCTGGCCAATCTGGCGCTGTGCCCCACTTCCCTTTCACATAAAGGCTGTCTAAACTGCCAGGCATCTGGCCCCAGGGACGGCGGCAGGGCCAGGACCTGCTCAGCATCTGCTGCTTTGATTAACAGGAAAGTGTCTGGTTCCTTTCCACTCCAAACAGGAAATGCCTGCCACGGCTGGGAGGAAGACAACGACAGGGGGACCGACGGGCTCTCCTGGTCACTTACAAGTAGCCTCCTCCTGTGGCAGATCCTCAGTGAACCAGAGGCTTGCTCTCTAGGAAGGCTGGAGGGAGGAGGAGCTTGGCCCCAGGGATGCCTCTGTGTGTGTTGGGGTGGGGTGGGGCAGGGATGTGGACACTGGCCACATGCTGCTTCTGCTACCTGACACAACTTGGGCTGTTAGGTCTTCAGAACAAAATAATTGTCTTGAAATGACACTTTACTTAAAATTTCGTTGAACCTTTTAACAGCACTCTTCCCGCTTCCTCCGGACCCCTCTCTCCTGACTCTGGAACTTTCTCCCCGGGCAATGCTGCCCTGAGGATTCCTAAGGCCTGTACCTCCCTACTGTGGTCATTCACTCTGTGGGACTGTCTGTGGTTGGGCTGAATGTTGAGCCATGGAGGTGAGTTCAGT